GGTATGACTTAAAAATAAAGCACGTTTATATGTACGTACGAACAAACGAATGAAGGAACGTTATTGCCCTCTTACAGAGAGCAAATTTAACGAGTGAACGTGGACTATACACGTAGTCTCCACAAAATTATTGTCCTTGCGAAAGAAACCAAGAATATGTATGTATATATGTATATATGTATATATGTATATATGCATGTATGTATGTATGCTGAACATGGTCGAAGCGACGACCAAATAACGTCGTGTACGTGTTCAAAATTAATTTCGTGTAATATCTTTAAAAATGACCGTAAATAAATAAACGGCACGAGAATCATGAATAATTTCCCTTCATTTCTTCCCTTTTTTTTGTTTCTTATTTATGACTTTCTTGTTATGTTATGCGATTAGTTTACTTAAATGGCTGTCCAATATTCTTCACAAGATAAATTTATAAATTTACAAGCAAAATAGAGCCGGTGGTTATAAAAATGTGATCTAAGTCATATTATTTTCGTTTTGAAATATTTTGACTTATGAGTTTGCATGTAGAGATCATGCTACTGAGCGTAATTTGCTAGATTTTTGACACGGACGGCCACCTTCATAATTACTGGCACAAATGTCAATGGTATAATAATACGGAATCATTCATGATAATAAACGTGTAATTTATAAATTTTAAGGATCATTTTCTCTTATTTTTTCTCTTTTTCTCTTACCGTTGATCTCGATTCGTTCTTCCTTGGCACGTTCGATGTGTTCGATCTCCAGCCGGCTTTCAATATGATAGAAGATAGAAGCGCCCAAAAAGAGATAAGCTAGGAACAACATGAGAAGTACGATCCATTGCTTCTTCGACATTCTCTGAGAAAGAGAACGAGAAACGGCTGATGGAAATTGGCCAACTCGTAGAGGACTTAGTTGTCGTCACGAGAAACTACGGGTAGTCGACTTCAAACTTGTTTTCTAGGACAATGACGATGATCTAGGGTCGGCGTAGCCATTTTCTCCCTCTCTATTTCTCTCTCTTTCTCTTTCTCTTTCTCTTTCTCTCTCTCTCTCTCTCTCTCTCTCTCTTTTTCTCTCTTTCTCTCTCTTTCTTGTGTAATACACGCGTGTATTATATTCAATTTTGTCTTTGCTTTGTCCCTGGTATGTCCGATGAACCTCTTGACTCTGCGTCCGCAGAGCTAACTGAAGATCTCTCACGTGCTTCGCTTCCTCTTTCACGAACCTTACAAGACGGGCCGATTATCGACGTTGATCGCGAAGCGACGGTGACAATCGACGAAGCACGATCGCCAACGATGGATGTTATCGTTCTAATCCTACCTTTTTCTTTTTCTTCTTTAAACGTTTTATTTATGGTTATTTACATCTTCTTGCCTTTTCGTGAAGATGCCATTTTCCTTTCTCCTCCCGATCCCATCCAAAGTCCAACCCTCTGGCTCAGGAATTCTACCGACAATAAAATAGAATATTTTTAATCGTTTATATAGTTGCTCGACGATCAGACAAGGACGAATCATTTCTGAATTCATTTCTAATTTGGGGATTAAAATTTTATTAATTTTGCGATCCGAAGTAAGTTTTATATCGGAGCTTTGACAAGTGCTCTCATAATCCGCGTCATCTCCAAATGTCTGTCGCGTTTGTTCAGCAATAAAAACCGTTGCAGCTACGAATTCGTTATGTTACAGATAGATAGATAGATATATAGATAGATAGATAGAGAGAAATAGAGAGAGAGAGAGAGAAAAAGAGATGATGAAAAGAGAGAAGACCTCGTTAAAAGGAGAGGGAAAGCTTGCTGTACGTATGTACATACTTACTCTTATATACGTGCATGAATAATAATATCGTTCATTGGTCATCGAGAAAAATCAGTGTATTTAATTTAACACCAATTTAATATTAAATTTAATATGTATATATGATAGAATTTTTAAAAAAATTGATATTTCAATAAAAAGAAAACAAAAAATTGGTAATATGGATAGAATTTTCTAAAGAAAAAAGTACTTGTTTACTTATTCATATTTAATGAAAGAAATCGTATAAGGGAAAAAGTATTTACTCACTATTTTTTTAGCTACGAGGAGATCAGTGTATCATTAGAGACAATACGTGCGAGTACTGGTTGACAATACACTGCGCTCGTTAATGGAGAACAGAGAGCTTCATTCGGTGCACAAAAGGGCGCCGTTTTGAAAGGAGCCAATTACACCGGCAGACTTTTCAATCCCGGAAAATCTCGCTGTTCTCTTTTTCAAGGCTTTGGCGATAATGGACAAACTAAAATGAACAAATTTTGTTTGTTTCAGTTTAAAATGCGTTTACCTCGAAACGTGACCGATCTCTGCCGTTGGTACGATGTTTCATAAGAATAAAAAAGGTTCCCTTAGACGATGAGCTCTCTCTCTTTCTCTCTCTCTCTCTCTCTCTCTCTCTCTCTTTTCTATTTTTTTTCTTAGTTGTCATTTATGTAAACGAACGAATAGTCGAGCACTGTAAAATGCGAAAAATTGATCGATCTCTTCGCACGACTGGATGATTTGCAGCGCAAACAAGAGTCGTCCTCGATCGTAGACACGTTCTCATAATATTTCACTGTATCATCTATCATCATAGTTCGTACAATAAATTATACATATATCGAAAGACAGTAAAAAGCTGACGAAATTTGAATTAATTTTGAGTCATCATTTGAAAGAACAATAAAAGAACAAAAAATCAATAGAAAATCATTATCAGTAGGTATCTTTTTAGATCATCTAGTTTTTATATGTACGATATCTTAATTTTTTAAAATTATCAATTTTTCTAAATAATCTTTGTAATCTTAGATTTATATATTTTATAAAAGAATATATATATATTTTTAACTCATTAGAGATAGTATATGGTATGAAAAAAATAGAAAAAAAAAATAAAAAAAATTGTTCTTAGAACGAACAAGGACAAGTGGCTATTGATCGTTACATTGGAAATGTCGTCCTTGCAAAAATAAGACAACGATGCTTTTATATTACGTTGTACATATGTACATATGTACATGCATCATATATTTGAGATCTCCACGAACAGTTACGTCCGCAATGAGGATTTATGAGGCGAACTATGTAGGTATCCTTGTTTGTTCCATCTTATGTATCGATCTCTGTTTGCCAAAGGTAGCAATGTGGGCATTGCTGGTTTGTACCGATACGACGTAATTCACATTTCAATACTATATATACATAATGATATATGGTGCATAGAAAAAGACATTTCGATCACTTTTGCGTATGAAGAAAGAAAACGTGAGTCTTACGTTTAAAAAGAAGAAACAAAATTAAATTGCATTTTGGATCACGCGGAAGATCGTAAATTAAAAAATAAACACGACGACTGTCTTCTTCTCACAATGTTTCTTCTTCGAAAGTGTATTGTCAATGAAATGTCTTTTTTTTTCTTTTGATATTGAAAATTAATATCATAAAATGAAATTTTTATATATATATATATATATAAAAAAAAAAAAGAGGTAAGACAAAGAAGAAGTCTATTTTGAATATCTTAAAATGAAACAACCTTAATTTCTCTCTAATATTTTCTTGTATGAAAACAAAATGAAAGATTGGACTTCAACGATATGCGATACATTGCTCTGAAATTTGAAGAAGCTCGGTTAACTTGTTAATCACGACAGACAATAATTACATTGGCGTACATTTGCATTTGACGTTGACTATCACCCTAATATATGTAAATCACGTGCAGAGATAAATCTTTATGATTAACTATAGTCACATGTTAAAATATATAATAGTAAATGTATATAGGCTTTTTAATCATTGCGTATAAATATGTACCAATTTAATAGTGAAGGCTAAAATAATTGAAATAAGTGAAGTAGTTCATTGAATTCTCCAAGACTATAAGAAGGATATAAACTAAAAATAAAACAATCGATGATGAATGAAATATGCAAATAAAGGTATGGTATGTGTCAATTTGTAAAGAAATTTAATTGTCGGTTGTATTTATAGAAACGTGATATTAGTAACTGTAAACATGTCTCCGATTGTTGTTCAGCATCTTCAATGCTGTTTTCTTTTTTGTTTTTTAAACAATTACAAATGAAATACATTTTATCTACTTATTAGAAAGTACATAGTCTACTTTGTAAATGATATGCGTAATCGGTTTATTTTGTTTTTCTTTTTTTTTTATTTCATGCGACATTGATAATTTAACGTATTAGTTTTAGCGATATATTTTATTGCAGTATAAAGTAACAAAGCTAGGATTAATCAATCGCTATCCAAATACCTAATAAAAATTTTAATTTAGACTTTTGATTCTTCTTACAATTTTTTTTTTTCTTTATAATTTATATTTCCAAATGAAGAATAAATTAAGAATATAACTTTGATATAATTATACGTAAAAAGAAGGAAAAAAGAGATCATAAAAATGAAAAGATTGAAATACTCACTCAACCCTGTCTTTCTTTCTCTCAATTCATTTGGTAATGATACATAATACATTGAACTGATTATAGCTTATCTTCTCACTATCAATCAGTTTGATCAAATAGATATTAACATCATTGATACACTTACACATACTTTTCAAGAGTAATTTAATTTATTATTTGTAATAACGATTAATCTTTAGCATGTTATTCAAAATGCTTTCATTTAAATAAGATCCATTATCTAAGATGTTTGAGATTGATTTTAATCGGCTATTATCATAGAAATATATTTGAAAAGATATAATCAGTAATAATTTTAAAACATTTTCAAAAGCCATTTTAAAAGCAAACTTACCGTCAAGAAATATTCATTTTTTTTGTATGTCTCGGCATAAAAAGAAATACAAACAAGTCGTAAAAAGAGATCACAATCTATAAAAACAAAAAAAGTGTAATATAATATATCAAAGGCGCTCCTTTATCGGATTGCAAAGATGATGATGTTAATCATAAAGCAAAGAGTTGCTCGCGAGAATCGTAAGGAGAGGACCTATAGTATTCCTTCCATTGAGTGCACAGTTTTTAAAAGAAATCGGTTGATCTCTCGGTTGATCGAAGATGTAGGCCCCCATTAAAGTATCCTGGATTTATCGAATTATCTCCGCATACATAACACTCCATCGAGATCGGCTAATGATAATGCGCGTAAATTGGAAAAGGTCTTTTCTTATCGCAAGAATAAAGAGAGAGAAAGAGAGGGAGAATGATAGGAAGAGGGAGAAACATTTTACAGATATTTCATAATACACTGTAGTCGCTATGCGATTTACACGTTTTTACGTCACGTTACACTTACTTACACGCGTAAGTAAATAATATTCCCTTTTTATTTTTTTAATTGTTCAGTGAAAAGCGAGGAAACTCTAAAGTGATGATATGAGAAATAACTCAAAGGGAACGTTAACAAAAAATGTGAAAAAAAGGGTACATGAATTTCGATGATTCTCGAGATATTCGCGACAAGATGTATGGTCATGTGAGCACTCCCTAAATGTTTGACGAAAAATACAATACTTGGATGAGAAAGGTTTAAATCATTGTATCATTATGATAAAATAATTTATATATAAATATAGAGAAACTGAAAGTGCAATGGTCAAGCATTAAATTTTTTCTCTTTTTAACGTAGTTTTAACGAACGGATTTGAAATCAATCGAGCAAACAGACAATTTTTGATTGACTTAGTTATTAATGGTTGTTAGCTCGGATTGAAGAATTTATAATAATTTGATTTAAACAGGCGCACACGTATACATAGACACATGTACACATAGACACTTGTCGCACTAGACGCACACATAGGCACCTGTCGTACTAGACGTACACATAGACACCTGTTTCCTTTGGGATGAGGATCGTAATTTTTTTCTTTCTCGTAAAATTAATAAATTTTTTTGCAGAAAATTCATACCTTTTAAACACAATAGATAAGACCTCTCATAGTTGACGAAGATTGACCGGTCGTTCAATAGGCACATACTATGCACGTACGTTTAATACGAGAAATAATTAAAACGCGAATTAATTAATTGTCCATTTTGGTGATGAGACGCGCTACAGATTGAATTCGTAACGTTGATAGTCGACCAACGTATTCAAGTACTTGGCCGAACGAAGACTATTCGTTGATCGAGTCATGAACCATTGGAAAAGCTCTGGAACGGTGGGAGGATGAGAAATCGTAATATTGACCATCGTGTCTATTAAAATCTTTCTTTTTTTCTTTTTTCTTTTTTTTTTTTTTTTTTTTTTTTTTAAATAGTTTTCAACTAAATAAAGCACATCTTTCGAGCACATATAATTTTTCGTTTAACTATTCGACGTTCGAATTCGCAGACCTATAACGTTTTGTAATTATGATGAAAATATTAATTATCACAGAAAAAAGTTGTAGAGGCAAATAATATAAAGAACAAATCGTATAACGTGATTACTTTATCCTAAACATTCTTAAATTCGTATTTTAAAAAACGATTTACAAAGGATGCATTACCAGCAAGCGATTTCTAATTGGTCACATAAAAATTCATCTTGTATATGTTATAAATTAGAATTAAAAATAATGTAATATCGTCGGTTGACTAATTATTATATATCGTTGATCTTGCTTAATTCTTATTATACTAATATCATAGAAATGTCATTAGACATTAAAATATTTGAAATTTATTAACTTATAGATTTTTCCGTTTAACTTTTTTGATTCTGCGGATCTATTAGAAATAATTTTGTTGAAAAGGGAAAAAAATAATAAAAAAGATATGTAATGTGATAAATCGAAATGACGTAATCAGTATTCGCTAATCTGTGAGGAGTCCGATTAGTGTGTAAGTGTTATTCTACATGCTTAAGAACTTCAAGCCACACATTCTTGTGATACGTTAAACGCGTTATTTAGTTAGTAAATTGGTGATAATAATTGTAGTTCTCTTTTCGTCGTGCAGCTGATACTCACATTTATGTTTGTATCTCGCCAGTAACAATTTCACACTTCAGAACAAAATCTTACGTTTCCGAGACATTTATCCATTGTATTACGCTATTCAAATTTTCGTTGATGTGTACTACAAATATTACCCGGTCTGATGATGATATAAATGGAGCAACCATTTAATTCAATTTAAAATTTTACATTGTAAAAAATTTTTTACTCCTTAATACTAAAAATGATTCCTCCAGATGGAAAAAAAAACAAATTTTACCGTGTAAAATTACTGAACGATTTATTATAAAATAATGTAATTACAAAGATATCTGCTTTCGTGTTTCTATCATCTGCAGACATAACATTCTAAATAAATCTTAATCTCGCTATAGGAAATAGTTTCATAAATCTCGCTTTTATCACACAGTGTGCTAATCTTAAGTATTCATAATTGAATAATGTAAATTAAACAAACATTTTCGTGCGATTAGGTAGTTTTCAAAATAAGCTTCTTAAGTAATAGACAAATTTGTTTTACATTATACTCCTATTTTGAAAGAAATAGAAACAAGAAACAATAGTTTTGTTGTACAATAGTATAACATAATTAAATCTATACTTATTCAAATTATGAAAATTTATTACTAAATCATGATCATTATTTCATTTTAGATTTATAATCCATAAATATGAAATCCGAATCTGACTTGTACATTATTAAGAAATAAACAATGTAAATTTCAATACATAATCAATTCATTCCATCATTTACTACTATTACTGCTTATCTAATAAGGAACATAGATATTATTGTAATTATTTTACTATATGATATATCATATGCAATGTTTTCTTACTTTCATTTTTTTATCTCCCCTCGTTAATGCTACGAATGTGCATTGAGTGTGCCCTTTATATGAACAATAATGATAAGGAAAAGAATGATCGAATGAAATGACATTTACATACCTACAGCCCTATATATACTAATAATGTTATTTTTGTTTTTGTAACTATTTAATTTCGCTATCATAAGTCCTTTTCCTTAAACTAATAAATATTATTAATTACCCGACTTTTGTAATTTGCTCATTGTGAAGACTTTATACATTTAAATAGTTTTACTTTTAACAATTTATCAACTGAACTCTAAATACTTAGTAAACATTATATGCAATATCTATAACTTTCTATATAATCTTTTACATAGTTTATAGTGTACCATACTACTTCATAAGAACTTTGTATACAATTTTTCGAAAGTATACTAAAAAACAAAATTCCCTGATGATAATGCACTAATTCCAACCAAATTCTATGTCTTCGATCTTTATGTTTAATCCTTCAAATGTTGTATCTATTGGAGGATCAACAAAACTATCATCCAATCCAATTTGCTGCACAAAAATTAGCACTGTAACTTTGGACTTGTATTCTCTTAATAAAAACAATAGATATTAAAATATCAACTTTCATTTTTTAATACAAACCTGTAAAGCAGCTATATGAGATGGATCACTAACTAATAAAATTTGTGGTTCAGGATCCGTTATGTCTTCAGACACTTTAGAAACTTGAAGCTGTGTTTCTTTTTCAACTGTTAATTTCTGAAAGAAAATAAATATAATAGTATATTAAATCTCTGATTGCTGCAATATGTTATAATTATGTTTTGTTTACATTTTCTCTTATTGTACTATTCTTCTCTTTATTGTTGCTTTGAATAGATCCATCTAAAGTATCTTGTAAAAAAATATCAGTACTATCATCACTATCAACTAATGCATGTGCTGTTCTTTTGTGCATTACAAGTGTACTGCTTTGTCTGTATCTCCTAAAACACACTTTACACTCAAATGGTCTTTGTTGTGTATGAACCTATACAAAGAATGAAAAAGATTTATATATTTTATATTATGATATTATTAAATTCATACTTACAAGATGATGTTTATAAAGACTAGAATATTCTGTAAATCTCCTTCCACAATTCTCTATGGAACATACATATGGCTTCTCACCAGAATGTATACGTATATGGTTCTTATAATTTGTTGCACTAGCAAAGGCTTTACCACATTTAGGTTGTGTGCATTTATATGGACGTTCACCAGTATGTGTTCTTACATGCACCTGAATTATATGATATTTATTAGATACATTCTTGAAAATATTCTTTCGCTATTTTATATTATTTATACTTCCTTACCTTTCTAATATTACTCGTTGTGAACGATCGACCACATCCTTCGAATGGACACATGAAAGGACGTTCACCTGTATGAGTCCTAACATGTTTTAATAAATCTCCAGATGTTTTAAAACTTTTATTGCATGCTTCGTTAGGACACTTATAAGGTTTCTCTCCAGTATGTGTCCGTAAATGAGCTTTTAAACTATAACCAGTGGAAAAACTTTTTTTACATTTTGGATGTGTGCATCTGTACGGTCGCTGGCCAGTATGAGAACGTTCATGCACCTAATATAAATACTTATGTAAGTATTTAATATTCTCAAATTTCATACAATTATGTATAAATACGTAGAAAATATACCACCTTGAGATGATGTGGTGTACTATATACTTTCGTACATCCTTCTCTAGGACAAGGATGTCGTATCTTTTGTTCAGATAATTTGTTTATTATAATCTTAGGCTCTTTCTTTTTCAACTTTCCATCTTCTATCTCCCATAAGTCATTGCCAACATTTAAATGACTAGCAACCATATATGCCGTTCCATTAATAAATTCTAATTGTGGATATGTATTTTCTGCAATGTCTACAGAAGTATTTTGAGCATCCAAAAAAGCTGGATCTACCTCCAACTGAAGAGTTTTACCATCCGCAAATTCAGATAAATCTCGTAATAAAATAGTTTCTCCATTTTCTAATTCCAAAGTGGCGTCCCCATTAAATGGAGATTCTACAATTACAATTTGTTAAAATGTATATACAATGTAATTATATGCATTAGATAATAAATCATTCCTAGTTCTATTTATATAAATACATAAAATTTAGTGTAGAACAAACCATCGTCACTAAAGTTGTTTGTCAAATATGCTTGGGTTCCATCAGGTAATGTTATTGCTGTTAGCGTTGTACCAAGTAATTGTTCATCCAGTACAAGTTCTTGTACCTGGACATTATTTGCATTTCCTTCGTCGATCATGACAGATAGACATCCCAAAACATCAGCTGAGGTATTCTAAGTACAACACATATAATAATATCACAATAATGAACACTTTATATATTATTTACAAATAATAACAGTTACCCTTACCGATAATTCGTGTAAAACTGTACCGGTTTCTTCCTGATTAGTAATAGTACTCGTGACAAAACTCGTTGATTCTTCATCTTGTGTTGACATAATTTCTTACCGGCGTGGAGCTAAAAAAAAAATAATGTATAAACGATTTGATAATCGAACGGCAAAGAAACCTCCACTAACTCGAGATAGAAATATCGAAAGGAATGTATAAATTAGGGGTAATACCTAGCGAATGAAACGCAACGCAAAAAAAAAATGTTATTTATTATTTTTACCGCGTAAACCGGTTCGTCGTTATTTCGAACATTTCTTCGAATGCCTAATGTACTATTACGGAATGATCATGGTAGAACATTTAAGTTAGATTGTCTATTATTTATTCCGAATCATGTTGTAGGAACGATGATACACAATAGAATCTTTCGAAAATAAATTGTAAACCTCAAAATACGAGTGAAATCAATGCAACAGTGTCTCTCGCCATTTTCCCGTATAAGTATGTCAACAACGGAATCCGTAAAAATTGTGCGAGGCGGCATATCTTTTCGAAAAATTTGTTCCGTCCTCCCTCACTCCTCACTTAATCAATACGCCACCGAAATTTCGACACGATAAACTGAATTTTCGACACCTCACGATTGAGCACCAAAGAATCTTGGGAAATATTACCCATAAACTCAGGACGCCCGCGAAATATTCTTCCCTAACCAAAGCGAGCGAGCCGGAAACTGATGTGTCGCCATCTAACAGCAAATAATTGTCAGGGATTCGCTTGAAGAAAAAAAAAAAATTTCGGTACCATAAAAAATATTTAATTGAAAATCCTTACTTCCCACATGGAATAATGTCATTTTCAATCGTGCACTTTTGAATTTTATGTAGCCTATTTTTTGAATAATATAATCACGTTCAATGTTTATTTTATTGCCCCACTTATAGGTATTTATTTATTTAATCGTTTCATTTAGCAATCGCACCAATCCATTCAATATAATTATAGTAACTAGTTGTGCGCGTTGACTCGTAAATCAATTACTTTACAATCGTTATCAATGGTCGTATAACTGTCATGTTGTTTTCTGCCTAGGGCACAGGAACACCTTGTTACAGTTCTGATTACAAGTCGATGCGTCGCACGCGCGCGCGCGCGCGCGCGACCATGATTTCATTACGCAAATTCTTCAGACTTAAGATTAACGATTGGATCGGTTCGAACAAATATCACGTACCTCCGTATTATTCATTTCATATCGAAGATCCATTATATGATACTAGTTTAACTCGATTACTCAATTCATAATCGTAGTTTTTAATAAGAGCTCAAAACTCTTAGCATTACAAATATCATTTCTTTAGAATCATATTAGAAATATTTGGCTATCTCAAAGTTCCGGATCAAACGGAAGTCATAGTTGTGAAAGTAGAGCAATCTTATACGATGCCAAGTGTCCTGAATGAGAAATTTCATTGAACCTCAAGGACATCTTTTCAGATGAGATCAGCACGCATTCGTCGTTTTACTTTAATTCAAACTTGAACGCAATATGATTGTATATGTTTGCATTGGGCAATGCTCTTACGTGTTAAAAAAAAAAAAAAATAGGAAAAGTAATCCTTGGAAAGAGTAGGTAAGATCTTAAGATAACATTAATCCATTTTTTTTTTTTATGAATGGAACTAAGGTTATTCGAATAATTTAAAATTTGAACATTTTGCAGGAACTCGAATGATTTAGGATAACTATTATTAAAAAAAAATAAAGATGATTTTGCATTGTAACTTTAATGGAAACTTTCAATAATTTAAAAAACAATTATATATTAAAACAGCATATGATTTATGCATTACCGTTCAAGATGTCGTTATTTTTTTGAATGAATAATAAAAAAAAATGGTACTTATTCTCTGATTAACAATTGATATTTAGTTATGATTATATCTAACTAAATAACCATAATCGGTAATCGTTAATTCGACCACATATTTTACCGAACTTAACCCATCAGGGACGTCTGATTTTCAAGGACCAGAAAGTGCACGCGAATCGAAATGAAAGTTATATATATATACATATATACCTTAGCCTTCTTAAAGTATCCTTCTTGATCGTTTTCCAACCCAGGTGGCGTATACGTATATTCTAGAAGGGGGATGTTGGGGAGCATATGCATCGTCGTCGACATTCACCCAAGACGTTCGAACTGGATCAGTTCTTCGAAATATCTGCACTACGTTGCAACAATTTCGTTCTGTTTCGTTTTATTTGTCTGAATTTATTTTATTTGAAATTTTGATCCGGAAATCTCGCGATTTCTTTATAGTGTCATTGTTGAAACGGATAATTACGGTGCTCCTACATAATAACATTATAGTGCTTATAAGAAACATTAAAAAGAAAGAACGATAATAATATATACAGATTATAGTCGGATATATATTTGAAATATACGTATATTGAAGCGCGGCAAAAGTACCGCCAAATTTCAAGCTACTCATGGTAAGTATCATATCAAGTATTCTCTAAAGTTTCAGATCTGTTAAGTTCAATTTTTCCATTATAATTTTTAGGGAAAACACCTTATAGATCTATATGAATACTATCCCTAACTCTCCACATACACACACACACATATAAAACACTTTCCCCCAGTGATTATCGGTAACTGTATTCCTCAAGGTACTATGACAACCAATTCGAAACAGTGTAATTAATTTTATATAACAATTGAAAACACAAAATTGAAGAATCTAAAAAAAAAAAAGAAATTCTAATTTTTATGTTAATTAACATCAATGACCGTTATTTTAATTTTAAGATAATTTTTGTTCTGTTCATCTGTCTTTTTTATGCTTATACTTCATAATGTATCACTGATAATATATAATTCCTTTATTATAATAATTGTTTTACTCGAATGATTAATTTACTTTTGTATTGTGAACTCAGTTTTTAAAACTCTTTTTAATAACAGTGAAAGAGTCGAGAATATTAAACAAAAATTAATTGTAGATTTTTCATGTTTTTACAAAAAAAGAGGTAAGTAATATTTAAATTAAGCATTAATGATTGTATTTATGAATAAATAACATTCCATTACATAACTCTCGTTTATATGTACTTCTTAAATCAATTTTATATAACTTTATGTATCGATTTGAAAATCTCGTCATGTCTTTTGTTTCTGATGTTTCTTTTTTTCTTTTAATTATTTTGCTGATTTTAGAAAGTAATCCCCCTTTAGAAAACCTTCTGTAATTTTTTATAGTTGACCTTTTTAAAAGTGTAGGTTTTGATGGAAATCAAAAATCTTCGATACTCGCAACTTGCGTACGAAATAGTGAAAGTATTAATGATATGTGGTGCGACTTTTACATGTTTACATTTCTAATGCAGATAGGTGCAGCAATTGATCGAGAATACTTATCGAACAGACGCTGTTCGGATCTTGTTCCGGGTTCTCCTCTCTTATCAAATTCATGTCTACAATAAATTCTTATATCAAATATATAGAAATTGCATGAACAATAACGTGACAGAATTTAAATATCACGGATATATAATAAAGTAAATGATAGTATGCGGGAATGGTAATTGAACTGTGAAAAAGTTTGATATGCACTATCGAACACACTCTCTTTAAACTTGTTATCTATCGAGTTGTTAGCTATCGAGCAAAAGTTGCTCGTAGATATATAAACATATAAATATATGTAAAAATGAATGGTCAAAATTTACGTAATTTTCAATAGAAAATGTTTCATTAAAAATTATATGATAAAAGAGTATTATTTATCGTACATATATGATCAACTATACATATGACTGCACACGAGTACGTAATGTTTATTGTGTAATAACTGTAACGAAAAGAATAATAATAATCGCCATTGCTCTCAGATACCATACAATATTCGGATATATTTATTCAAGTTGGAAAGGAATGCGAATGAGGCAAAGTTACCACAAACCGCCTATACACTTTCGTTACAAGATATGAATCACGAAATAGAACGTATATACTTACATACATGTACATAGATGCATATAATAAGATATTTATTCAAGCAACTTATTTAATCGAACGCGTTATTGTACGCGTTTCCCTTGCATAACTAGTCGGTTACATATTTATAAAATCCGAACCAACTCACGCGTCTGTCTTCTTTATACTCTTCAACAGGGATTCTCAATAATAGAACTTTTGGGAATACGCTTAGAGCTCAAATAGAACTAAAAAATAATGCAAAAAAAAAAATTAAAAAAGAAATTTAAAAAAATTTTTTTAAATTAGAAAAAAGGAACAAAGGGAGAGAAAATTAAAAAATTGTTCTATGGGATTCTCTCGTTCATATATTTCGTATTATCTAATATCATTATACTATAATTATAGTTTTATTTATCTATACAAGAGTGACACCGATTACATACGTATTTCCAGGGGGTACGTGAAGCATAAAAAGTTGAGAATCTCTGCTCTTCAGGATACTAGAGTGAGTGCACTCACGTGACGAAATTATGACCGCCAGCACGCGAGCGCACAATCTATGTTACTTTGAAAGGTGTAACTATGTGTATGTACGTATTCGCAATCGAACATATAGAGAGCAGGGTAATATTTAACTATCTATGTGTACCCAGCATCCGTAAAACGATCTGCGCGCTTGAGTGCGTGGAAGGAATGACTGTTACATTTACAACAGCCGATAGCACGAGAAACTGTTTCTCCAATCTTTCAAAATAGCTTTTCTTTTTTAAGATTTGATCCTGCAAAGAAATTTTAATTAAGCGAAATACTCTTTTATTCTCATTTTAAATTTGAATAATAATTTCTAGATAATTATTTCTAAACATGCCAATTGTCCAACGAGCACGGTACCTTCTATATTAAATTATTAAACGATATAAAAAAATAATATAGACTAAACCGCGATAATGGTCGCATAACAAGCAAAAGTTATTAGTTCAGCGATTGGAATCATTTTTTCTTAATTAAAAATTCACATTAACGCGCCTGCTTTTAATTATAAAAATGCATTCTTTATCATTAGAACATCTATTACATGAATACTAACGTTTATGATAATCATATAATACATACGTTTTATGAGTTTTTTAATATTATAACTTTATAAATCAATAATCATATGTTAGTAATTTTTATATATTTTTTCAAATTTTATTGTCAGTATGAAGAATAATTATATTATATTAAGTTACAGGCAAAAGCATTAGTCCTTTTATCGGTAATAGCAACCATCAAAGCTTTACCAATCGCCAATGTTCATGTGAAATTCGTCTCTCGACCTCACGTATACGAACATGGTATTACAACAGACGGTTAGTATGAATACGCGTATAGTCGAACTGATTTCACTAAACTAATTAAAGCACTATTACAACGGAGTAAAATCGTTCGTTCTCGTTATAGGAGATCGTACGATTTATCAAAAATCCTTTGTTTCGATCGGACGAAGAAGCATTCCCTCGAATCCACGAAGACAATTTGGTACGCCATGTTCTTTCCGCAAGACATTTTGAAAAGTAATACATTTTGATTATTTTTGTTTTTAGGAGAACGTATACATACTGATATCAACTTGCAAGAAATTCCAGAAATTGGAAAATACGCAACAATAATAAAACCGGAAAATGCTGAATCATTATGGCCAGTTGGAGTCTTTCTTCCCCCCATAGATGTGAATGACCTTAGCCATACTTCTCAGGAATCTAGACATATAACACCCGATTACAGTAACGGTTTAAGTAATAAAATTTTTTTAAATAATATGAAAGATACAATAAATTGTACTTTCACAAAACTAATCCCCCTTTTGACTTATTTAGAATATCACGATCCTTTGCTTCTGACCGGTACGGAAGCAATGATGGTGGTGAAATACATCTATGGCCGCGGCGAACTCTTTTACGAGGATTTTCCACACGTACGTGCTATATTGCGGAATCAAGAAGAGAGAAGATTAAATGGTCTACATGATCATATTCTAAGCAGTCTAAGGCCTAGCTCCCCTTTTTACAAAAGACAGCAACATTAAAAATGTAAATTTGAATTTGGCCGAAAAGTGAGTAGCTATTATCATACAAATTTATACAGCGAATTCAACAGGAAATCGACAGAAAAATAATTGCCATCACTAAAAGCGACATGATCTGTCAATTAATTAATTTAACGTCATTTTTATTCAAAAACAATATTTAATTTTCAAATATCACGACATAACATTAGACACATAAAATAATTTCATACGATAAAATCCATTGTTATTTTAAATAAAAATAAAGCAACTAAAGGAATATTAATCCATAAAAAATCTAGATGAACATATAGTCATATAATTAAATAAATTATAAATGCTTTAGAAAATATTGATATGCTATTTTTAAATAGATCATCAAATTGCATATACCAATTTGTAATACCTTTCACAGCAATTTATATAATTTTTTGCAAATCGTATAAGAAAACAACGTGTATCGCTCTTACTAGCATTAGAATCAGAATCATATCTTATTTATTACGGAACAGCCCTGTTTACAGTTTAAGTTCAAAGAACAAAATAAAATAAATAATCACAATACGATACGAGCAATAAGTTGTAGTCTTAAAGATCTAATAGAGATTTTTTTATTAGTATTGCATTGGTATTTGCATTTTAAAATAACATAAAATTGTTATTAAAATCTTACATGAGAAAACATCATCAATACGATGAGAAATAAAACGTTTGTTAAAACGATTGTAAAGAAATCATTATTTAAGAAAAATCTTATTGATATAATGAATGATTCAAACTCAAGGATTGTTACGTTTCAATGATAACAACGTAACATATAATATTTTATATTCATGATATAAAACCAAATAGACAAATTGCCTATTGATAGAATAATTTAAGATAAAAGATTATATTGGATCATTGGCAATTTAAAATATAAAAAAAATTTACAGGATCCATCGTACGGTAATACATAATATCAAGGTTAGTAACGAATAGGATATATTGGCGTTAATCGCTCCGTTGCAAAGATCTCCGAGGCAAAGGCACATGTAAACTTTTCTATAATTCCACGTAGTATAAGCGCATCTTTCTTCGCCATCATCCGGTCCTCTTTGAAAGCACAGTCTTTGCGTGGCTGTACCGTATTCTGAAAAATACGATCGCCATCATGGGATAATACAAATGGAAAAGAAAAGAGATTAACATTGCAGTGTTACTCTTTGAAAGAAATGACATGATATATAGTGCAATGTTTCTCACAAAGGAGTTTGTAATAAAATCGAAAGGAACCACAAGAAACATAATGCAATCTTATACAGTGGACATAGCAGCAATGGTCGATCGTAGATTACATCGAAGATCGATTTCAACATCGAGCGAAATCTTCGTTTCAATTCAACAGAGTAGACTGCTTTTATTAGCTGATAATAAGAATCAAAAGGAATAAAGCAAAATATTCAATTAAATCGATATTAATTAAATTGAATATATTATTTACTTATAATTAATGTGAAGTATTAATTACTTTTAAATTAGCAAGCGATTTCTAATAAGAAAATAGTATTCTCAAATATAAAATTTTAGAAGATTCAAATCCTTTGATATGAAACTTTAAAACATTCTAATTCGTAAAAGGAACATCGTATAAACGTAATATACTATATAATCATACACGAATATTTTTCTTCTATAAATTGGTAAAATTATGAAATAGAGCAAAAAAAATTACGAAAGATGAAGAAAGAGAACTCTTAAAGATTAAAATTCTTAAAGGGTTAAAGATATAATCGTAGATGACAGATATTATTCTTATTTCTTAAGAAAAAACATTAAAGTATATATCTTTGGAGCAGTTTTCCATATCATTTTTTTTTTATACATACAATACTAACCATTGTTTAAATTTTGACTTTCGATTATTTTACCACACCAACCGGATACACAGGGTACCATATCCACGCCTCTTTCTAAATCTATTTGCGTGGAATTCATCGTAAACGGATCCTTACACGAGCCTAGCTCTCCTCTCGATCTGCAATGAACGCATCTTCGAAGTGCTGTTGAAGAAAGTAAGAAAATGATAGAAATATACACATTTTACATATTGAGGAAATTTTTAAATATTCCAGCGAATAAATATTTTTTTGTTTTATTACATATCAAAAAAAAAAAGGAATTGCATATAACTTTTTACTTTAAAATACATAAAGCCCAACCATTGAGTTAAAATGACCTAAGTCATATCTATACGTGTATTATTTTTTTATGATTCTATATTATTATAATATAGATATAATACAAAAAAAAATGATAAATTAAATTTTTCCAGATTTTTTAGTTGGGCAACTTTTGTAATTACTTATACATGCGTTTTTTTAATAGTTCGTCATAATGTAATTGAGTAACTATTAATGAATTGTAGAAATATTTTGTTCATTGTTACTTTTATTAGAATATAACATAGACCAAAATTTGTTTACGAAAATCTGGATTACATTTAAAATACATAAAAAAATTAAACGACTCTAATAATTACTAATAAGAAACAATTGATAATGATGTTAATAAAGAAATAAAAGAAAAATGTTCTTATTATTAGTGGTAATAAAGAAATGGTAAAACGCAAGAGCCGCACATCGGTGAATACCATAAAGCATTTGTCACCGTTCAGGTGAAAGTATCGTGCCAGTTTGTGGTATTGCAGGCCGTAAGTACGAACCATATAGTTCGACTCACCAATCGTTGCTGGAGGTAGATTGAAGTATAAAATTGATAAGAATACGACGATGCACATCCTTAAATCCATTCTGTCGATCGTTCTATTTCGTTAAATAAACACGAATGTGAGATTCACGCGTTGAAAGTCACCAAGAACGGCGGAAGGTGAAATATCAAGGAGAAACGATCGAGCACAGCCATTTTGGAACTAACCGGTAGGACTAACAGACTTACCAGAGAGGGCTACGCGTATAACGCAGTCTCTTTCCTTTCACTTGACTCTTGAGTTCTTCGCTTAGCTTTAAGGCCGTACACCATAAGTATATATGTATATGTATATGTATATGTATATGTATATGTATATGTATATGTATATGTATATATATATGTATATGTATATGTATATGTATATGTATATGTATATGTATATGTATATGTATATGTATATGTATATGTATATGTATATGTATATGTATATGTATATGTATATGTATATGTATATGTATATGTATATGTTATGTATATGTATATGTATCAATAAAAAAGAATCGTGCGCCGACGATAATTACTTTCTTCAGACGAATCATCGATCGTTGGCTTGAAAAGAATGTCTATAATTATGAAACAACAATTTTCCATTATCGCGATGCGTTCAAAGCATCCTATTAAGCGACAATCATCATCGTTCCCTTTATAAGATAATGAACGAACAGGATATACGTTTGTTTCAAAAAACTATAATAATAAATACAATTATTATGAAAAATGGTAATTAATTATTCTTTCATGTATGATTACGTTTGATACCGATATAAATATTATTATAATATATAGCATCAGATGTCTATACATTTGTTATTTTATTTTTCATTTCCCACGCATATTGTAAGATCACTTTCTTCTTCTATTTTTTCTTTTCCATTATATTGTATTTTTCTTTGCACGTCCTTCTTCTCAGGAAACATTACTTTAAAGGTATCCTTTCGTCTACACGTTATAATCAGACCGGTACAATAACAAAATGAAGTTAATAATAATATGAATCCAAGATAACCCATGTGACGCAAAAATACTATAACACGCAAAGGAGATAAATAAGCAAATGTAAGTTATGAGAATAGATATCTTCATCTCACCTAATGTCCAAAATCTCGATTTAAGAACAACAATGATCTTCATTTGCATCATATTAACGTTATCGACGTAACATGTATAATTACCTTCCTCGTCTTTCGTAATATCTATTAGATATAAATATTATTGCATGTATAATTATTAACAAACTAAATTTGTTATTTTTAGAAACGAAACAAAACCAATTATGTAAAGTGTTGAAAATGTGTCAACCATCATTCGAGCTTCAGCATCTGTTTTACGAAACGATCGACTTAAACCTTGCTTCAAAACAATGGAATCTTTTTTCCAAACTATTTGCGATTGCAGATCTGATCTATATTTATAAATCATAACACCTTATAGTTTCAGAATTATATGAAACATGAGCATAACATACTCCGGACACGAAATAGCAAAATGAGCGCCCTCTGAGAACACATACTGCTTTCTATATTTAAATTTTTTCCCTTTTTTCTTTTTCTTTACTTTTGTATAATTTTTACACGCCTCTTCCAAAACAAATTCCGGCAAATATTTTACAGCACTACTGACAATAGGAAATTCTTCTTGAAGAAGTATGGATCTATAAAATGTATGACTATTATATTTTCTATTTGTACTGTATAAACTATACATTCTTACTTGCATGGAAGCATAGAGGTCTTATTAAAAAACTTTACAATTAAAGAAGTATGATCCAGTATAATGCTCTGTGAAGTTAAAAGCAAACAATTATTGCCATTTATATTTTCAGAATTGTCTAATTTGATGAACGCAAAATTTCAGAAAATATTTTATATATGTGTATATAGTTTATCATTCATGATTAATACTATATAGTAGTTTACTTTATCAAATTGACGCTTCAATCTACAATATCCTCTACGGGTTTTAATTCCTCGATTATGTATACATTTTTCACATGGACCCCATGGTCCCCATTCAGAAATTACTTCTAGAATAATGCCTTCTTGTCGTAGATAGACAAGATCAAGCATTTTAGATACCTAAAGCGAAATAGTATATAGTATCATGAAGTATATTTTGTTATTTCATTTTATATTATGTTTAAAAATCATACAGCAAAGCGTGTAGTCACAGATAGTAAATTTATTACACGATACTCTTCCCATTTAGTAATGTTTCCTGTTTCTATAAATGTATTTTGATCTTTAAATATTGCTAAAATACCATTTTCTATGTTATTATTTAACTCTTTTATTCTATTATTTCTATTAAAAGAAGGAATAATATATAGTGTAAAGGATATTACGTTCTATTCTGTAGTTAAATTTGTATTCTTCCTCTTGCCCTTCTTGACCATGACACCGATAAATTCCTGCATCTGTCTTTTTGATATTTTTTATCACTAATGAAAGACCTAACGTTACATAAATTCTATTATATGATACATTGTTGTCCATCCCTAACTGTACTTCTCTTTCTGGTAAAGTTTGCAACCGATCTTGATAATACCATATTTTGGGTTGTGTTTCTTCATTATCATTACTACAACATACTCAGCTATATAATCATCAAAATTTTCATACTAACATTACCAATATATTTTCATCAATAATTGTTAAGTTTTTTTAATATAAATATTTAATATTTCTCACCAATATCGGCACAATAACTTTACCATCGTATCGATTTCAGCACTTGCAAGCAAATATTCATCACTATCGTCGGAAGTAATCAATCTATCCTTCTCACGGCAATACATGTTATCATTGTCTGTTTTAATCATGAAAATATTACTCGTATATGTAAAGATAATGAATAATATGCGAAATATCATAATTAAAACATCTCATAGGAATATTTTCTATTGTGATATATAACATCTAAATTATTCACTTAATGAATTTAACAAAAATGTTTGTTGATAAATAAATTACAAGCACACTTATTTCCCTTTCTTGAGTTATGTACACAACCAAGGCATTAAATATCGAATGATTAATAAGTATATACGAACATTGTAATTATTCTATATACGAAGCCCAATTCTTAGAGATGATTGGTGCTTCCTTCTATGCTCAACCAATAAATTTAAAGTAGCAAGTGAGTAAAATGGCGCCACTACTAGTGTGAAACTTTAATAAAAATACAGAAATATTAACTAGAGAATTTATGAATAATCAATATGACAACTTATATGTAATGATTAATAATTATATAATTATCGACAATAATATCGATTCTCATAAAATTAAAAGGTGATTCAGCGGGGATAAGAAAAAAAACAAATTAACCTCCATTTTCAGTTTGAGATTAAAACGATTACACTATTTATATATATGATGTGTATGATAAGTATTTTTATTAAAAATCTCCCTTTTAATTATTAAATCTTGATGTTTTCAATACACTACAATATTGTAAAGATAATATATAGATAATAAAAATAACAAAATAAAGTTCTATATAAATTATATTTTACATTTAAATATGAAATAATTCTTAAACATGTCGATTAAAATTATATTATTTTATGGCATAAATAATATATAAGTACTATTATACCAATATATAAGTAGTATTATAACAATATAAAAGTAGAATTATTTATTATTTTGACATTTTTATATTCTCAAATAACCGGAAATGGTAAACTAATTATGTTATAATAAACTATCATTGTTAACTGTATGAAAATTACTTTCGACCGTGTATCGAATGAAGTAAATGCATGTATGACACTTCCGGGGACATTATAAGAATGCAATTTAGTAAGTTACACAAATTTTATAATTTTATTTGTACGAATATACTTGTAAGTGAATATATATGTACCTGTGTGTAATCAATTTAATTTCTACTTTCTACATACATATATATATATATATGTATATATATATAAATTATTCTTTGGAAATCTACTTAACTTAATTTAACCCAAATACATTAAAAATATAATGTAATAATCAAAACAGAGACGTAAAAGCAAATAATATATCTTAAAATCTGCGCGGCACCATCAGCATATTAAAAAGTACTTCTTATTAGAGTTGCAAAATATTTACTTATATCTTTCACATATTCCAAAATAATTGTTTTATACAGATATTATTTGTGCATAAAAATATAATTTTACCTAGATATACTTTCTTGATATTATAACTCTATACCTGATTCGTATGCGCTAGTTACAACGTAGACTTTATGACTTAAATACAATCCCATGATGCATTAGTGATATCAACATGGCGGACACGATTGAAAGTGAGTATAACTCAAATAACTTTTGATCGAATTCAAAGCATAAAAGGTGTTTCTACTTTTTAAAAAAACGATATCTAGAACACCAAATTATCTGGTTCTTTTTAATAATAGGATAAGTTATTAGGTTGATTACAGATAAACTATTACCCAACATTTCAGTTACAGTTGAGACGACCTGGTTTAAAATTTCAAAAATGACCAATGCATAATTGAAGCGGGACAACAAGATATTCATAAAGCAATATTAGATTTAACCTTTAGAATTTTTTCTATTACTTGATATTGTTTCGCTTTTTTATAGAAAAATGTACAATTATTTTCATAAAACTAGAAATTTAAACGATGCAACAAGTGAAAATAATCATTTCAAATTCATTGCAAGTTTGGTTATGTTAGTATTTTGAAGTTAAGATATAATGATTTAGATCCGTTAAGGCGGAAGAATTTACGTAAGACATTGAATGTGTCTTGAAAATTAACATGTGTCCTTATAGTTTTTGTATATTTTCTTTTTGTATAACACGTAATAGTATTATATTCTTATAATCAAAGGTATATTATGTATTTTAATAATCTAAAAACATACAAACATATAAAATAATATAAATTTTAAATTATTTCTTTCCATTTCTAATTCCTTAACATTTTAAATTCCTTAACATTTTTTTTTAATTATTTGGTGTATTATATTATAAAATTTCTTCTTTAAATATAACATTATTTTATAAGTAAAAGTTAACAAAAAAAATTTAATAAAAATATAAATTATATTAATAATTTTTATTGTAGCGTAAATAAAGTAAACAATAAAAGTTTAATAATATGAGAGATAAATCAATAAAATCTATTTTTTTAGATGAATCGGCTGAAACATTACTATCTATTAAAAATGGAGGGTATCCCACAGTTGATGAAATTAAAACCGAGGTAGTAGATGATGATACAATGGACCTGGATGATCAGCAAATTTCAAATCATTCAATGGATTCACATATGGATACAGAAGAATCTGAGCCAATACCTGAGCTTGGACCTGCAGCTTTAGGTCTTCAACGAGTAGGCACTCAACCTCCACCTAAGCCAAATCCGCCTACTCAACCAGTCCAAGTTTTAAATCGTAGAGGAATGCCAGCTAGAATTAGAAAAAAAAATAAATTATTTTATGATGATATTTTAGTCAATCATCCACATCATAGGTATGTTATTATAAACAAGATTTAAAATTATTAAATTTCATATTTTTAATACCTTATAGGATCAAGAAGGATCCTTCTAGTACAGATGTTAAGCAATCTCCTAAAAAAATAGCTCGTCCATCACCAGCAAAGAAACAAAATAGAATAACTAATGAACCAAAGAAAACTAATAGCAATATTTCACATCTTCCTAATGTAATGGCAGCGGTAAAACAAGAGAAAGAACCTGACAAATCTATGCAACCTCCTTCACCTGACAGAAAGATAGGACAAAAGATTGGAATGAGATTAAGAAATTTATTAAAATTACCCAAAGCACATAAATGGGTTTGTTATGAATGGTTTTATAGTAATATTGATAAGTAAGTTTTACTGTGCTATTATTTGCATATTGTCTACTATCTTATTTGTAATATCTATAATATTTTTTTTATATAGAACTTTATTTGAAGGAGATAATGATTTCATGATATGTCTAAAAGAATCATTTCCGCAATTGAAAACACGTAAATTAACTCGTGTTGAATGGTGCAAAATCAGAAGAATGATGGGCAAACCACGTAGATGTTCACAATCATTCTTTGAAGAAGAAAGAAGAGAGCTAGAAAGAAAACGTCAAAAAATAAGAATGCTACAGCAAAGAAAAACTGCAGATATAAACAGTTTCAAAGATTTACCGCCAGAAATACCATTGCAATTAGTTATAGGTACAAAGGTTACTGCAAGGTTACGGAAACCACAAGATGGATTGTTTACTGGTAGTATAGATGCAGTGGATACAAGTAATAATACTTACAGAATTACGTTTGAGAGAGCTGGTCTTGGAACTCATAGTGTCCCTGATTATGAAGTATTGGTAAGTTTTTTAAATATTAAATTATTTCATAGAATAAAATCATATTACAGGAACATGTTTTGATATAATAATACAACATAATAATAAATACATTTTGTAGTCAAATGAACCACCAGAGACTATCAGTGTTGCTTCATTTGCTCAAAAATTTAGACCGAGACATGTACAATATGTACCCTCACCACCGTATGCAATGAAATTATTATCTCCACGTTTAAACAACGATCCATTAATCTCTAATGCATCTGTATCAGTACCAAAGAAATCTCATATTGGTGGTACTATGAATGGCTATCCAGTAAAATTGCTTGAGTTCATGGTAAAAGTAAATAAAATATTAGCAGCTAAAAAATTAAAAATTAAAAAATTAAAAGAAATGAATAGTGAAGCGGAAAAACGACGATCATTCGGAGAACCCTTTCCACAAGACTTTGAAAGAAGATATGCAGGGTATGCAAAACATACAAATTCAACAAATATAATCACTAATTTCAAAAATATTCACTATTATCTTATAAAAATAATAACTTTTCAGAATTATAGTCGAATTGGAAAAAATGAATACAGCTTTACAAGATTACTTAAATGATATTCAAGAACTTTGTCAAGAAATAGCTCCTGAACCTAGTGTTGCAGCAATGCTAGCACCATCTCATCTTCGGGAAAAATGTAAACAGGAAGCAGCGGATATGGTTGCTAGGAATAATATGATTCATGATAAAGAACCTGGAAAAATGAATCAATTAGTAACAGACTTAACAGCTCTTATGTTACAAGTAAAGGTAATAACATTGTAGTAGCTTTTACATTATGATTGAAAATTTAATTTTTATTCTAAATAATTATCTACTTTTTCAGAGTTTATCTGATTCTGATAGAAATGCTTATGAATTAAAAGTACTTCAAGGTACTATGGAGCAAATAAGGTCAAAGCTTAGTCCACAAAATCAACAAGTCTTTCAAAATTGTGTTGAAATTCATATGCAACACATTCAATTAGGATTAGGACAAGTAGGTGCTTTGACACCTTTTATGGCTCAAAGAGCTTAACATATATGAAATCATATAGTTTATTCATTGAATGCACAATCCCAGATGGAACAAGTGATATGCACATTATGTGCTCTATAGTTCATAAAAAACATTTATTTTAACACTGTTCAATATAGAATATAGTACTTTCGCTCATTAAGATTCTTTATAAAATATAAAATATATATATACACACACACATACACACACACACAAAATTAAGCATAATGAAATATTTTCTGTATATACAATTTCACAAATAATGTATTCATCATTTATTGTAGATTTCATTTTATAATACAACAAATATTTGAGAGTAAATATAAGCAGATAAATATTGTTTAAACTGCAGAATTGAAATTAGAATAAATTTTTAATATACATAGTAAATTCGTTTTTACAATATATTTTACAATAGCAGCAAATAAATATAATAATTTAAAATAATATATTTTAAGAGTATTCTTTTATGAACTTCAATATGTAAGCTATATCTTTATTTTTGTACAATGTGAATAATTAGGGATGTCGAATATTGATTTCGTTGTATTCTCATTGAAAATCTTCATAATATTTTACAAATTCTTGTAAAAATGTTTAATCTAGAAAATTCAATAATACTGTTTGTATATCTGTTACGACAAATAACTGTGTCAAATAACAACATAACTTTATCTTACAATTTACCATTATTACAAAAAAGCTATACTAGCAATTGTAGTAATTAAATGTTAGGTAAGTATAGGTCACTAATTGTAAATTAAATATTTTTTTCATTTACGCAGTAGATTAATTTTATGAATGGGAATTTTATTTTTATTTTCATTTTCATATATATATATGTATATATATGTATATATATATATATATACATACATATATACACATATATATACATATATATATACATATATATATATATATACATATATACATACTCATAGAGAGAATTTGTATAAATAGTATATCTTTGTTATTATGAACAAAAAGTGGAGATAATAAATATACATTATTCTAAGAAAAAAATAGCATTTATTCTTTTTATAGATTATATTCAATATTTACTAGATATGATTATATAATATATAAAACTTATATTTTCAATGTCATACATCAGACAATTCCTTAGTGTGCTATTCATTGAAAAACATGCATTACATCATTATCAATATAATACAAAATTATATTGATTCATTTATGTAGTATTTGTTTGATAATAAACAAATTTTTATAATTTTAATAAAGATATTTATCTCATATATTTGAAAATGCATAACTTAAAAAAAATTGTAATTTAAATTATTTAATTAGAACAATAAAAATACCTAAATATTTTTAAAGTTTAAGTAATGGAAACTAAACAATGATTGATAAATGAAAAAAAATATAATATTTTTAGGAATACTTAATTTTTTAATGATATATACCATTTTTTAATAATGCAATTTTGTTATTTCTCTTTTACAAATTGAAAAATTAATTGCAAATGCCGTTACAATTTTTAAAGACCTTTTCATTATTCTTTCTGGACAAAACAAGTTTACTGTTAAAGTCATACCAAATATCAAATATAATACAAATATTATCCTGTGTTAACAGGATGATTTTCAAATATACAATATAATATTTATCTAATGAAGAACGTTGCACACACATTGATCTTATTTTAAAACTTTTATACATAATCATACGAGTACTTGATAATGGCATCTTAACTTCATAAAAGTAATAGCATAACACTGTAAGAGTATAAGATGATGCAACAATTAACACATTTATGTTCTAATTTTAAAATTTTTACCTATGATATTAAATTTGTTGCAACATACTATTTACTCTTTTCTTAGTTATTTTATTATGCTTCCTTCATTGTCAAATACAGTACCTAGATATTTTATTTGTAATTTATTTTTTATGTTTATTTAAAGTTTCTAATAAAATATCTGCATCTTCAATAGTTTTCACTCTTAACAAAACTGGTGTAGGTGGAGGTTGAGAATCTGGCAAACACACCAACATTATGGTATTTTTATTCATTCGTTGTGTAGGAATACTTTCAGTTAATAAAGTATTCAACAATAAATTTCCCAATGAATTTTCTGCCCGTACTATTAACTGTGTTTTTCCGTTCGGTGTTGGTTTCAAAAACAATGTTCCTATTCCTCTATCACTAAAAGCGCCATCTTTTTTAATAAACACCTTACATCTGAAAATATAATAATAAAATAATCGTCAATCATATATGTTTTATTAATTTATTAGATTACTTTAATTTTATAAAATTTTATTCATTAATTTTATATTCATAGAAATATCTTAATTATCTAGTAGAATAATATAATTTACCTTTGTTCATAAATTGCTCCTTCTTCTGTAACTGGTTTAAAGTCTGGTTTTGGAGGTTCCTCAGCATCATCATCTTTAGATTGATTTTCAGATTTGTCTTCATTATCTTGTGATTTTACGACTTGAGCACCAAATGAGAATGGTTTTGTACTAAAATATAATGGTTTTCTTTTTTAGATCAATATCGAATACTTCAGTAAAAAAAGGAAATATTTTTATAAAAGAATAGCAGATAATTACTTTCCAAAACTAAAACCAGCTGATGAGCTAGTAAGTGTAGAACTTTGACCAAAACTAAATGTAGTTATATTAGAGGATGCAAATGTAAGACCGCTGCTTATTTTATCAGATTTTGATTCATTATCATCTTTAATATCTGAACCTGAAGTGGGCTTAGTCAACTGTGGGCTTCTGTCAGAATTTGGTTTGTCAAATATATTTTTATTAGATGTCTTTGCTTCTACATTACCAAAAATTGGTTTCTGTATATTGGTAAATTGCTCTGCGTTATTGAAAATAGATTTTGGAGTATCTGATTTTTGGTCTGTATTACCAAATAATGATTTAGCATTAACACTAACATTTCCAAAGATTGACTTTTCTGGTTTCCAATCTGATACTCCAGAATAAGTTTTTATACTTGTAACTTCATTAGTACTATCATTTTCATTTTTATTACTACTATCTTTGCTGTTATTTTCCTTGGTATTGTCCATTCCAGATGAAGTTTGTTCATCATGTTTTGGTTTCTTAGATTCGTTCCCATATTTTAATTCTATTTCACTTAAGTAATTTGCATAATCTTTAAATATAGGTGTTAAAATACAAAATGGATTTGAATCCACATGTGTTTTAATCCACTGTGCAACACTTTCATTTAATCCCTTTAATTGCGCAAAGTATTCTGAAGATTTTTTAGGAGCTTTGTCATTTCCTTGCTCATTTTCAGTTATCGTTTCAGTTAATGATGGTTTGACTTGTTGGACATTTTCTATTTTACTTGTTCCATTTTCTGAATTTTTAATAAGTCCGCTACTCGTATTTGACGCCGATGAAGATGATGATTGAAAAGTAGTACTTGTAGATGCTAAGAAATTAAATGGAGATGAACTTGTAGTTGCGGTGTTGAAACCTGTAAATCCACCAAATGCATTTTTGCTTGTTTCCTAAAATATATAAAATTTTCTTTCGATTAAAAATGATCATTATTTAATTATAGCAAATGAAAAATATTCCAAAAAATATCTTACATCCTTAGGAATCAATCTACGCCTAGCAGCTTTAATTACTCTTTTCTGAAGAATTTCATCAGATGCCTTTGTAAATGTTCCTGCATCTTCAGGTTCGTTTTCTTCATTCCAGTTATCATGATTTAAATCTGTAGTTGCCGTACGTTTAGTAGCCATTTATAGTTTGTAACTAAATGTTAAAAATTTTAATACATTATATCTTATATTTATAAGTTTTCTAAATATATATATATATATATATATATATATATATATTTCTGATATGATATTTACTATACTTAAATTTAAATCGCGATAAATATACATTTATAATTTATTTTTCAATAATATATTTTATTTTCCGAATGATAATAATATTGTCAACATTCAAGAGGTTATAAACTAGAATGAAGCAAACAAAAAGTACGAATTGATTTTTACATATCTGGAAAAATAATAAATGAAAAATGGAAATGATAATGATCAAAATGATCTACTTAATTTATTTTATTTACAAATACTTTTTAAATTAAATTTATAATACTGATCAAGTAACCTCACAATGCTCGAAATATTGATTTTTTAAAAGAAATATTATACATTATTAATGTTAAAACAAGACTTACTATTATAAAAAATCAAATATAACAATCAATAAGGATTTATAAGACAAATATAGTTAAAATATTCAGAGCATTCCAACATTTATATTAATTCACTACACACTGATACTTTGTGTCTGTGAGCAAATTTGTCCGGGATCTACAATCATAAGATACCATATGAATCGTCAGGTTTAGTCAGGCTAGAGACAAATAGTTTACTAAAAATGATATTTTGTGTAAAATAAATATTTATATATATTATTTTTAAGCTAGAATTAAGCTTAAATAAATTAAGAATGTTAAAAGAATATAAATAATGAATCACAATAAAGTATTTACCACGGAAAATAATGAAAATGTGAATTGCATTTGCTACATTCAAAAATAAGAAAACACGATAAAAAGTTAAACGGATTAATAATCTTATAATAAATTTATTTTATTTGACAAAAAGTTACTTGTAAAGTCAAATTTAGAATTACACGAATATATACTCTTAATATAACAAATGAAAATGATAACGTAACATGCTTATTCATATTCATATGAAAGTATTTTTCATTTCGTAAAAATAATATAGTACAAAAATATCAAATTCGTTAATTCTAAAAAAAAAGTAAATCATTAAATTGCTTCAAATGTAAATAAAGCATTATTCCCATTTAAGTACGCAGATTCAACGATAATAATCGATACAGCTTTAAAAATTCTCATAAATCGATAAAAACATCTTAGAAGTGGCAATAAAGTCATTTCGATTCGTCCATCCAAGAACCGGGAAAATCGAGACAGTTTTCGTTTCTCGAAACCGAGAAAAAATGGAGGAAGATTGGTAAGTTGGTATGAAAATTAGTTGGGGAACAGTAATCTATGTGTATGTCGATGATGTACCGGCTCTTTATTTTTTTCTTTTTTTCTTTTGTTTAATTTCTTTTTGGAGAAAACAGGTAGAAGCATAGAAAGGTGGTACGGGGCGCTTGAAGCGCTCGGTACGTCTTTGTGCGCGCGCTACGTCGAGATTGGTGGCAGCACAGACGTTCGCTGACGGGCGAAGGAGTCGGTTCTCGGTGTCGGTGTCCGTATCCTGTCTTGTGCCCGTGTTCGTGTCCCACCGACTTACATTGCGCTCTCGTCGCGGAAGGGCAACAACGCGACTAACGAAGGTACGTGTGCGCGTGTAGAGAGAGAGAGAGAGAAAGAGAGAGGGAGAGAAGAAGAGAGGAACACTTGTATTGTTTCATTACAATCTGAATTTCCATTTCGTTTATTCGTGTGGTCGTAAAAGTGTCATTGGGTAAAACTTAAATAAAAAGTAATTTTTTTCAAAGATATTCTCGCGTGCGAACGATCAAGAGATCCGCTCGTCCGCGCCTCGCTCCTGTCTTCTCGTTGTGCTAGTGGTGTGATACTGTAGTTAGTGTACTGTCTACGGTGGTAGTGGTAGAGCTGCTGCTGCTGGTGTGGTGGCGGTGATGATAGTATAGTGGTGGTAGTAGCAGTGCACGCTGCTGGTGTTCGTTCGTACGTCGCGGCTCTCGTCGATTTGGCGGCTGGGAGGGGGGAGGAGGAGGCTCCCCATCCTCCCCTTCTCTCGCTCACGTTACTACGGTTATCCCGTATATACTTTTGGATGCGAAAAACGCGCATACCTGCACCATCAACGAGTATGGAGATATCTAAGACGCTACAGGAAGAAATACTCACCGTGCAAAACAAGCTGAAGAATGCCATACGCGATCATCAGGTGAGAAAATGCCGATACTAATCTGTGTCAATCGGTTATCATAGACGCGGGTAAAAAAGCTGAAGATGATCGGAACAAAACTTTTCCCTTTTCTCTTTCTCTCTGTGTTTCTATTTCTATTTCCCTTTCCCCCCTTTACCGGTTCGCTTTCCATTTCTTTTTCTATTTGTCTTTATATGTATGTAAGTACGTAACGATCGTTCTTATATCTGGCAATCGTTCATGCTGATCGCCTTTTCGATGATTCGAGACGTGCACGCGATAGAAAGAGAACTTCAAAACAAAGTACAGTCGAACAATTTACTTTTATCGATTTTAAATCTTTGCGCCTCTTTAAAGAAGCGAGCTGGGAAATGCATGAATTTGCTAAAAGTCATAGTATAGCAACACTAGTATAGTTATACTTCTTTTCTTTTTGTTTCGCGCTCACTCACACACCGACGCTCTCTTCATCTTCTTCTCTTTCTCTTGTTCTCTCTCTCTTTCTTTCTCTTGTTCTCTCTCTTGCCATTTCCTCCTCGCTCGCACTTCCTTTCTGTTCGCGCGTCTTTACCCTTCCTCTTTCTCTTCGCTCCACCTCTTTTCCCCCTTCCTTTCTTTCATAGAGACGCGCAAGATATCCATGTCCATACCGGATTTTATATATAGATAAAAATTTCATCGTTGCTTGGGTCGAGTTATGTTTTAACATAAATATATTTGAAAGTGAGAGACAAGAAAATGGAGAAAGAACTCAATCCGCGGTGTTCGGTTGAGTTCAAAATTTCGAATGAAGATTTTAGGATTCTCGAAGCGCGCGCGCAAACGGGCGAGCGTGCGTGCCGTCAAGCGGGGGTTACAAGAAACGCTGTTGCTCTCCTCTCGCATATCACGCCGTTTAAGAGATTCTTCGATCGAAAGTTCCGCATTCGTTTGCTCGTCATAATAGACGAAGCAACGGTATAAGCGTATATCATTGGATCGAGTTTCATTGGAGAAAACTCGTTCAATATATCGTTCAATGAGAAGGAATATAATATCATATATCGTCCTTGCTATTTCACCGGCAACGACGAACGGAGACCTTAACCTTCGTTGTTAGGAAGGAACGACGACGAGTCGACTCGATGCGGACGTGCGACTTTGAAGAAGTTTTTGTCTCTTTCTTTTTCTCTCTTCCTCTTTCTCCAACCTCCTTTCTCTTTCTCTTTCGTCTGTTAGAGCGCTTCAATTTCGTTCTTTCAATTCTTATTTCCATGAAACAACCGTATAGCATAACATTCGAATGCAAATCAATGTCTTCTTAAGCAACGAATTAAAATGGCCTCGAACGATCGACGACTATCTATACATATAAGTGACTGTTAGAATTTGTAGGAATGTAAAATAGAATAAGAGGACTCAATCGAAACGCGTATTCTTGTCCGTTGTCATACACGTTTATATATATACATATATATAGCGCGTCGGGATGAGCCAGGCTTCTCGTGTCTCTATATACTTGAGAAGACAATTGTCTGTTTTTCAGTTGTTTCGTGCTCCCAACGAATAGAATCGCTTGCGTGATTATCTTTATGCAATAATTAAAACTTTTAATACTTTTATTGTCTAATAAAGAAAGAGAAAAGTTTTTGATTTCGATGCGCAGATGTTAATTTTTTTCCAGACATCTTTTTAATATTCCGATCGATTTGTATGAGCAGTGTACGAATATCAATGGATTATTTCGTCATTAATAATAAATATTATTAATGAATTATATTCTTTCAAATTTTATAAATGGCATATTTTCCTTCTTTTTTGTTTTTTATTTTCCTTTTTTGTTTTTTATTTTTTTTTGTTTTGTTTTTTGTTTGAAAGTATGAGACTTGATTTCTACTCAACGATTTAATAAATGATACAATTCGATTATGAAATTATATAATATTAAATCTAGAAATTAAGTTAAATTTATTTTCACGTTTGAAATTTATCCATATACGATAAATAGTTTATCCATATTCCTAAAATACAAAATACATTTGAAACGTCTTTTTTTTTTGTGAATTAAAAAAAAGCATTTTACGTAAAATGAAATGTCTTTTTATGTTTCTTTCCGGAGTGACTTTGTAAAATGTAGCCGCTACGAATATTCTCGTTTATTCGATATCGCCGGCATCGATACTATGCCATTATTTTAAAGAGAGAAGGCTATTGAGCATTTTCAAGAAATGGGAAGAACTTACAATAATCCGCCGGAAATCTCATGAAACTATTCTCGTATTTTGGCAATTCGTAATTGGCGCTTTATTTTTCATTAGCCAATCATAGATTTATGTCGATTAATGATTGGCTATTGTTACATAAATACGAATCAATCATTATCTATAATCGATTTTCCGCAATGAAAATCATCGGGAATATTTATGTACTTGCGTAATATTCAATAATCGAGAAATATCGCATTAACATATCGCATATGACTAGTTTCATGCATAAAGAAGGATTTGTGTGTGTATGTTTGTAACTAAACTATACTGCTGTTTGTAAACACATGAAGTGTACTAAAGAACTTTTAGATAATCAGTATTACGAATATAAATAAACTATATCGCCTCTCTAATGGTAACGCTAATTATAGTGTACGACATACAGTTACATTCTCCTATCTACAGTCTTCTATCATAGTGAACTATGAAGTATTACGCTAAATCGTACTCCATGTTGAGAAAAATAGGTTAGACGCGTCTAAATGCGGATGAAGAAATGAAAAGTATTGTCATAGCCTTTCGGACTTTTTCTTACACATTTACTACCACTAGTAACTCGAGAGTGAAACGCTATAAGGGTGAGAAAGGAGACGTGCCGTTAAATGTATATGCACTCTTTCTATTACGTGCGTCGTAAAAGTTGAGAAAAAAATGGCGAATGATTGTGAAGAACGAAGAAATTATGAGTACTTTTTAGAAAAAGATATTTTCAAATTGTAAAAATTGAAGAATTTCCTTTGATAAACGAATATTAAATTATGCGAAAATAATTAAGTTAAACTTTTTAGAACGAGCCACATACGTGTTTATAAGTTTTTTAATGTTATTCACTTGCGAGCAATTGTAAACAATAGGAATTCTTTAACATAATCTGTTTGATTTTTTATTTAATTGTTTTATTTAACTATTGCTAACATAATCTTTTTTTCTCTTATAAATTCTAGATATGCGTGGGCAAATTGAAAGATGATCCACACGTAAGTAACTTTTTTCTTTCTAAATATTTTCATTTTGATTCTAAAAATTTGACGAACATTCGTTCGTTACGAATAAAAGGAATGAATGCGTCGTTATATCTGTCATAACAAATTATAGTGACGCAAATATACGATATTCTTTTTGCAGAACACTATCATTCTCGGACGGATACAGGACATCCATTTGCACATCGTCTCTTTGGATAGATGTCAGGTAAGTTGAGTGGATTTCAACAAATTTCTTTTCTTTTCTTGAAAGACGTGCGAAAGAAAAAAAAACTTTGGATAACCGTCGAATGTTGTTGGTTGTTATCGCTTATTATTTGGAACAAGAAAATCATGCAATTAAACACAGCTCGGAAAATAAAACAAAAGAAAGAGATATACAAAGTACTGCTCGTCCTTGATTCCATTTACACATTAGAAAAGTTAACCTTGTTTAATATTACGATTCTCGAAAGATCATTCGAAAGATATTTTTTACTTTTTTAATCATCGAAATATTACATATCAATTATACTATTCAATTCGTTGTTCTTATAGTACAAGTTCGAAAATAATATATGCCTGTCAAAAAGCAAACTTTGATAATTTTATTTTTCAAAAGATATATAACTTGATTCTTTTACTGAGCACCTTTGTCTTTAATCTCATGACATCTTTTTTAACGTTCCTCTCTTTCTTTCCACGACGATGAACCACGGACGAAACGAGTACTAGTAACGGGGATGGGAATGATGATGGGGGTGGGGGAGGGAGGCGGGAGCTGAAGCGACGACGGTAGAGAGCAAGTAACTATAAGTAGGGGAGAACGAGCGAGAATACGGGAGAGACCAAGTCGGAGGATGAGAAAAGAGAAAGAGCCTCCCAATCGATAAAATATCTCGCGCAATATCTTTTTACCCTTTTCCTTTTTTTTTCCTCTCTTCTCCTTTTCTTTTTCTTTTTTTCATTTTCCTTTTCCTTTTAATTTTTGTTCATTTTCTCTTTTTTCATCCGACTAAAGCGTTTGTATTTTTTTTTTTTTCAACTCAATATTTTCGTTTCTCTTCCCTCAACGGAAGAATACGTTCGAGAAATAGAAAGATTTTTCTAGAAATTAATCGTCACGTTTATCATTTTGTTACGATCTATTTTTCTTCGGTCTTTAGCGCATCTACGAAATTTAATTAATCCGAACTATCATCTAGATTAATTTCAAGAAAAGAGCCTTTTTTCTAATCACATTCGAAGATTTCATCGGTCGTGTGATCATTTTGATAAAGAATTATTTCCATTTTATAACAATCTCTATTCTTTTTTTTTTCCCCGTTTGTAGAAGCAAGTCCTACAGCGGCTGCGCAAAGAGGTTGAAGCATTTAAAGCGCAAAATGCAAATGGGCCGAAAGTTTCGTTAGCGTCGTTACTTGGTTTGGATAATAATAATCGTCATATCACAAATAATAATGATAAGAGAAGTAACAAAGTGGTGGGAAACACCAACAATCTTGATGTTAAGATATCAAAGGATGATTACGAGGACACAGTGCGCAACAGCGACGTACCATCGCCCTCGCAAGAAAATTCGCCTTCCAAGTGAGTAAGAATTGATGATGCTTTCATTTCTGACCTTTTTCAGAATTTATGAATACATGCATATACTTGGTATTTTCGTAGAGATCGATCGAGCTCGGTGGAGACGATATCCGGCGAGGACGATGTCATAGAGGTCTCCATGGATGAAAATTCAAACGAGACGCAGGAGGAGCTTGATAAGAAAGATTGCAAGAACGAAGTCAATGAAAAGATAACGTTCCTATCCAATTTGAGCCTGATCACCAATGCGAGATATTCCGAATTACAGAACAAGAGGGTAGAAAGAAAACGGCGTAGCACGGCTAATCCTCAATTTGTGTACTCCTGTTTCGAAGCACCGATGGTACATTTTTTTTTAATAGAAAATAAATTTTCTTTTTAAAACTGTACGTCACACTTAATAGATTTCGTTAGTCCGTCGCAAGAAGACGGGGGCCCCATCTTTAAGATAAGTGTATCTGAAATTGGTTTGATTCAAGATGATCTTAGAAGTATTAATTCAAACTCAAGATGAGCTTAGAAATGTTTTGCGTCACAAAATTTATCCAATTCATATGACGAAATTAATATGAAAAATAGTTATTGTATTTTTATATTGTTTATAGAAAAGGAAGAGATGCACGTATTTGCAATCCGGTGGAAGTGCACCACAGACACGACAAACGACAGCTCGCATGAATGGACCATCACCACCTCCAGTTAGTAAGACAGCCTTACCAAAATCCACATCACCACCATCGAGAACGACGATAGGAAAATCTCTCATTCCCCTGCAAAAGTCCATGACGAGACCTAACATTCTTAGGAATGCATCAGAAAACAAAGTCTATACCGGAAAGGGCAAGGTTGAAAATGGTTCAAATTCTATACCATTACCGATCGTTGGTACGAAAACGATACAATCAACTGGTAGTAGAACTGTGCATATACCAGGACTACCTTCGAGTTTAACGATAGAGAGGATCGAAAATGATTCGATTGTTTGTATAAGGTGTAGAAATCCAGGTCAGTGTCACATGTCATATAACAAAAGTTGTACATACATATCATAAATGAGAGAGAAAGAAAATCGTGGTTTTTTTTTTTTTTTTTTTATATAAACTAGAACTATTAACTTTTTTTCGTTGCCTTCGAGACATTGCACGTTCTGAAACAAATAATCGATACAGGGTGAGGTATATAAGTAGAGACATCCAAACGTTTTCCTTGCTTATACATCTATAACAATTTTTTTTTTTCAGTAAAAAGTTATGATACGAAAAATGATTGGGAAAAAAGGAATTTCTCTTAAGATCATTTTTAAATGGTGTTCTCTTTTAAATATATCACCCTATATGTTTATCATGTCCACCGATATATGTTTTATCATGTCCATGAAATTTTAAATATTTCTTAATCTATGTTTAAATTAATTTGTCTTAGTTATGTTAACATATACATTGCTTGTAAATTTAGTTATTTAATTAAGGGCGATTACACGTAGGTACTCTAACGGTATGCGAGAATTGTTCGGCCAACTACCATGTATCCTGTCATTCCGTCTCGCCGGCACCCCCAAGAATTTGTCCTAAATGTGCGTTCGTCGAAGATGACGAGGAAGAGGAGGAGGAGGAGGACGCAGAGGTTCAGGAAGCTGAAGAGGATGACGAAGAGGAAGAAGTGAATGGAAGAGAATCTTGCAATAAGGAAGAAGAACTCGGTAAATCGTCCTCGATGCCATTGTTGATGATTTCTTCCTCTCTAATGTCGTGCGTGTGATTGACAAAAAAGTTCTTGTTTTCTGCAGACTAGCTTCTGCGAACGTTCGCGATACTCTTTTCTCGCTTCGCGACATTATCGTCTCCCCTTCTCCTCAAAAAAGAGCTAAACTAAACGGAAGCAAACAAACTAAATGGAAGCATCAATAGCTTTCGACTATTTCCATAATTTTACGATGCAATGATTTTCGAACTAGTAGTTATACGCGAACTTATAAGCGCCGTGTATCTTATTCCTCGGATAGATAAAATGAAACTCGAAAGAAGTAAAGCACAAATCTTTGGAAAAAAAAAGAATAATAAGAAACAAAAAACAAAATACAGGAGTTCGAAAGTTAGAGAGTGACATATAAGCATTTGTTGTTCTTAGCGCGAGATGCGTTATACGTCGCTCGAAAGCGGTGCGAGAATTTGTGTAACATGGCTCCACCACTTTTAGATTTAACGTTCGACGAGGTATCGCAGCGTTGCCGCAGACTCTAATGAACATAAGTGCACGCAGAGAATGAATAAGCGCGAGATGGCAGCCTGTCGCAAGAAGCGTCAGCGTGAGTTGAGGATCGGCTCCTTGAATACGGCAAGCAGAATTTGCAATTAAGAAGAACTTTTTGGTCGATCGTCGTCAATAGGGCACCCAAAACAAGTATATTGAACGCGAAATATCTTGCAGAGGAGAAAGAGAGAGAAAGATATGAGCTGCGCGAGCGAAACTCGGATCTAAGATTGCAGGTTTACGAGTTGGAAAAACGCTCGCAACTACTTGGCCAGTCAATTGAGGTTCGTTTAGTGGCCTGCGTAGAACAAAAAAAGAACAATTTAATCGACTTATACTTTCGTTTGGAATGCCCTTAAGTTCGTTCGAACTATTCGGATGTTTATCTCGTTGTTGGCTCTTTTATTATTTTTATTTCCTCGTTAACAACGAAAAGCCCGCTACGTATTCATATTTGTTTTTCTTAGTTCCCCTTTCGTTCGCATTTTAGTACAATTTATTTCGTACAGTTGGACACACATCTTTATGTTATAGCATGTTGATATACGTGAATTTTATATATCCATCGACATTTTTATCTATTCAATTTTAAACAAGATAGGTCTTAATTAGTCTTTATTAATCGATCAGATAGTTTAGTCTTGTTGATTGATTCAACGTTTACTAAGTCAACGTTACCATCTCGTAGTTGTTTATTTTGTCATCTTCGCCAGATTATTTTCATGATTTTATCAAATCCATAAGCTTTCATAGAGAATGTCAGTTGTTCGCTTACTTAGATACGTGTTCATTTGAATAAATAAAGAAAGAACTTTATGTAAATCGTTAATATGCGTGTAAGCATCAAATAGAGAGCATTGCATTATTATGGAAATTTATGTAAATGATATTACCGTTCAAATTTCGTGAATTAATAGTGAGTTTGTAGACACGTAAACACTCGACAATTATTGTTCAGACAATTATTATGTTTTCGTCACGAAGTGAGTATTAATCTTGTTTTGATCATTAATCGAGCTATGCACCAAAAGCATGCGTGTCATTTGTATAAAAGTTTTTTTTATAGAAAAGTAGGTTTTCTTATTTTTCTATTATATTTTATAAGCAAACAAAAAGAATTTTATCGATTTGCAATCTTTTAATGGTAATTTCTTCTTTCTTTATCCTTCAGCTACAACATCGTACGCGTCAGGAGCTATTAGGAAAGCAGGAGAGGACACAGAAATCCATAAAACGTCTTGTGGACTTTATAAAGCTGATGCAACTACGAAAAGGCACGTGCTCGCCTCCGCGCTCGGAATCGGACAGCTTCCATCCTCGACCTTCCTCATCCCAATCTCCCCGAGTAACGTCACCCCCCCCAACCACGAGTACTCGACAATTAGTGCAATCGCAACAAGAACTGACGTCGAGCAATCAGAGAACAATAATGGCAACGGTAACAGTAGTGGCCGATCCTATTCTTCGATCGTCCTCAACCATTTGCCACAGTCAAACATCAGCTACATGCAGTCGGAGCCCCAGTTGCCATATGCCTACCAATTACCAATCAGTAGCGTTCAACCAGAAAAGCATCAATCATACCTCATCGTTAAAAAGATCTCAGAACCAATTGGAAGGTCCGCTCAGCTTGCCATCGGAACTCAATCAGAAGGGCAGAGTCTTTCAACGTTCTTCGACTCCCAATTGCCAACCACGTCCCGGTACGAATCACGCGTTCACTCTGAGGTCACCCTCGCCCAATCATCCGTCTACCTTGAAAAGCATTTCTCCGAATCGGTCGGCCGAGGTCGTAGTAAAAAGACAAATCGGGCAGTACCAGCCCTCAACCGTATCGTCGATTCCGAAGAATTCTCCGTTACTACCAGCGACCGTCCGATGGAACGATCAACCTACAATGGCAAGAAGCCCAGAACTAGACAATCAAGGATCAAGCTCGGTATCGATCATCTACGAACAACAACAAGAGACACGGAGTTTCTCTTACCCGCTTACGACGGTAGCACAATCTCAACAGAACAGTTCCCAATGTCAAACAGTGCCAACACAAAAGAGACGTTTCTCGGTGGTCGGTCAAAGAATAGAACACGATCAAGTGGCTTACTCCACTCTCTCTTCTCAGGCTACGACTCCTCCTGTGTCGTCGCCGACGATACCACCCTCGTCCTCTCACGAACCACCTGTAATACAAACGACAAAGACCGTACAGACCTGTACCAACAATCGTATCGCAAAACTGATCGTTTCGAATCAGTCGAACACCCAAACGAACACCAGCGCGGGACCATCGCAAAATTCTTCGAACACGTGAAATTGGAAGAAGCGCATATATCAGCGCCACCTAGAGCAAAGCTAGCGTGCAAGAGCACGAACATTGAGATCGAGGAAGTCGATCGATCTCAACAGGATGAAGACGAAGAGGATTTTCATCGAAGTTCCGATAATGAATTTCTCGATGAAGAAACTACACAAAATTTTAACGAACGAGTTGAACGAGTGGGACCAAGCGGCGAAGACAATTCCCGAATTAAGACTCCTGAATACGTTGGACTTGTGGATGCAGAACCATGTTCAGGAATGACAACAAAAGGTAACGTTGATGGGAATATTTCATCTATAGAAGCAATATTGGAAGTAAATGATAAGATTTCATCTTCGAAGAAAGACCTGCCCGAGACATCGTCTTCGCAGTCCCAGACCGCACAAGTGAATCAAATTAAATCTGATGACGAGGTATCAGTTCCTGATGATAAGGCTGACGTCGAGAGACAAGACTTACATGGTGGCCGATCGTCGTCCAGCACACCTCACAGTGACGTTCCAAATAAACCACCGATCATTGAGGAAAAACGATCTTCTATGAAAAAACTCGATGAAGATCTAGGCATTAGCTCCGTTTCTCTAGAAAATATGCGCGTTTTGGAACAATTTGAGTCTGCTATGCTGGAGGCCGATTGTAGTAAGACCGCCACTTGTTAGAAATTAATTAGGGTAAACAATCCTGATTCTGTTGGCGCGCGTTAATCATATTCATAGCAGCCTTTTGTTTTCCTTTTTTTTCATTATCTTTTATTAGTTATTTTCATTCTTTAACGAATCAAACTCTTGAAATGAAAAATATACTACGTTTAGGATTATATTCATTTTTTAATTTCATCCTGAAATCGGCGTAAATGAGTTTGATAGTAGCAGTATTTTTATATTGATTTTGTTGTATATTTTAGAGATAGTATTGTTGACAAATCGATGATAATAGTTATGAGGAGAAAGTGAAAAAATCGGAACTTAAAAACAGGAAATAGAAGCGGAAAAGAAAATTGTGTATCTTCTCGTTGTTTCTTTCTTTCTTTTTTTTTTTCATATATTGCATTCGTATCTTCATTTCTTATTTATTTATCAATAATATTGATATTTGTTAGAATGGGGTATTACGAATAGTTTTCTTTTTTATTTTTTTTTATTTTTGTTTTTTTTTTTTTTTTTATGGAAATTCATGTAAATTTCATATACGTTGAACGCCATTATTACTGTCTATTGTTACAGGAGCATATTTTTCGATGATATCGATAAATTATCATCCTTATTATTATTCATTTCGATACACTACGATCGGTCTAATGCGATAAATTTTCTCTTGTTATTTTGTGCGGTACGTTCCTAATCAAGATTTCACGTGTAGTTCCCATGAGATCTACTAAAAATATAAAGAATTCGCATATCGTGCAGTGAATAAAATATACGCTGTTATATTTAGTCTGGAATATTAACAAGAACGGAAATGAGAGAAGCCTAATTTAAGGCAAATCTAGCCATATTACCATACTGCCTTATTAGTTCTTCGAATAAGGTATTTTTTATTAATAGTTACCGCATACGAACCCAAGAGAAACGCACGACATATTGCGCTCATTTTTGCGGGTTTATGGATATAATCAAAACTTGCTATTATTGCTGCAAAAGTAGATATTAAGAATGTGAATATGAACGAACGAGTAAGAAGTTGTAGCAAAAATATATTCTTATGCCTAGTTAGTTATGATTAAATACGTATCGACTGCCTTTTCATTTATATTATTATTAATACGAATGCTTTTTGATATTTTCCGTTATGAAAAATTTTTCTACTATTATTAACCGTAAAAGATTTATCTTGAAATTGTGAGCTAAATGCATTCGTTCTATCGTGTTAACAGGGTATGTTGATCTGTTAATATGAGTTGTATTTTTGTACCGTCGATCGTTTTTAAATGTGCATATTGTTTCAGTTAAATAATAATGATTGCAAATGATTTTATAAGAGTAATCATAATTACGTATTTGGTAGACTCTTTGAATCTATGCTAGCGTTTTTCTTTCTGTTTTATTATCTTGTTGATTGAGTTGATTGCACACGATACGACTATCTATTGTATACAATTACGCAAAAAATTGTTATGTGATGTAGATGACGAGATTCAAAATGAAATTCGTATTTTTATGAATAAATCGATTTAAACTCGACAGAATCTAATATAATACCCAGATATTCATTTACACAACATATTTATAATCCTTGTTTAGTATTCCTGGACATTTCATG